ACTTATATGTTAATAGTTCTTTTAAAAGATTACTAATTAGTGATCCTTTTCATTATTAACTATTTGTTTGATATTTATTTATTTTATTTGATGTATCGATCATTCAAAATATTTTTATTTTGTAATCTTTTAAATATTGTATCTACCTATATATTAAGTAAAACTTGTAAAATGTACTTCTAATAATAATTATTATTATGTACATATATATCGTTAACATATTATTAGGAAACATAATATTTTATTTCGGGGATATATTATAACATATAATATAGGTAAAGGTATTAAGAAAAAAATATTATTGTTAATGTTTGAAAATTATAATATAAATATTAAAAAATAAGGTATAATTAAATACTTGAGTAAGTAAATAATTGATTTTGTTTGTATGTTTTTTTTTATATTTTTAAGTGAACATAATGTATGGGTGTGGGAGCATCGCTACTGGTTACTTTTCATGTAATGTCAGGTGGGACAATCATCTAGGACAATCCGTCCCCGGACAATTGGTCCCCGCTAAAAAATGCGGCATGCGGACAATTGGTCCCCGTCATAATTTCATACACGGACAATTGGTCCCCGGCTTAAAAGTTAAACACAAAATAATTTTTTAACATAAAACATTCACATATAATATAATTCAAATTCTCGTGACACTGAAAAAAGTAAAAATAATAAAAAAGTTAAATAAAATTAATAATAAAATTTATTTTATAATTAAATATAATATTTATTTTAATAAAATTTTAAACATTCTCATATATTAGGTACTGTAAATTCTTATATATACAATATATACACAACAGGAATTTTTCGGGGAGGGGGGGGGTCAAAAATATGTATATTGTAATCTTATTGATTTTTGTTTCCCCCCTCACATACTGCTACAGCCCTCCCGGCATTTCAATTTTCAGCCCTACTTGCGCCACTGTCAAATACTGAAATACCAACATAATTATTATAATATAGTTCAATGGGGAAAACATGATGAATTAATGTTATGTTATCTATGCAAATTATTTATTCCAATAAACAATTGTATAAAATCATAAAATTGATATTCCCATGCATTTGTTGCTCGTCTACTTATCTACCGTGATTTGTTGTCTCCGTCTTACACACGTATACGACATAACAAATTTTCATTCACTAGTCTCAATAGTGTGCTGTTAATTTTGATATTAGTGAATTGATCTCTTATAAAACTTTTAGGCAAGAACATCTGTGTTTAGGCGTCAGTGAATTTTCAATATTTAAATTTTCAAGCGAGATATGAGCATTTTTAATTTATAATATTTCACTTACCCATACCTACCTCGCTTGAATATTAAAATATTGAAAATTATAGATAATGTTCTTACCTAAACGTTTGATAATAGGTCAATTCACTCTAATATCAAAAACAGCACACTATTGAAACTAGTGAATGAAAATTTTCCATGTCGCACATATGTAAGACTACGGAGACAACAAATTCATGGGTAGCGTACTCTTATGTTACAAATCAAATCGGAATGCATATGGCGGCTCCCGTATAGGGACATTTTACATAATATGAGAGAATTACACATTACAATCACGCATTACATGTATTTAGTTCAGTGGCGACGATACATCCGGCATTTGTTTAATCCCGTCTGATGAAGCTGATTGAAATTTTAATAAATTAATCACTAAGTACAATAACCAGAAGAATAGTAAAATTCTTACGTAGATGTTTCCGATAAGTAATAAAAAAAAAAAGACTATACAAATTATTTTAAATTGTTTTTGACAGTACTGTAAATCGGAGTTGAGATTTTGAATTAAAATATTTTTTTGTCGAACCGCATCGTCATTTTCAAACAGCCTTACTTTTAGCTTTAAAATTTGATTTTCGAGTTCTATGATTTCCATATCAGACGTCTTTCGCTTCGGATACATTATACACTGATACAGCGTTAGTTTAGCGACGACAAGAAAAGTAAAAACAATATCGCTCACCGTACGAAGACTCGTTAGACACTGAATAACGATGAAGTATTTAAGTATTAACGAGTATCTCGGACCCTGGTAGTGGTATCGGTGTATTCGTTAATGTATTTGTTCTGTGTTAATATAGTAGGTACATGTACATATTATAAAAATGTGTGTGCTTAAAATTATATCTTTTACTCGTGTTGCATTGTGCAACATGCTACTGCCGACTGACTAGGCACTAAATACTAGTAACCAATAGCACTACATTACTAAAAAAAGAGGTATGATCACAACTTTGTGATGCACAATGCGCATACCGTTTTTGTAATATCCTATTGACAAATGACAATGGTTATGACGTTTTATGCACGAACTACTACCACAGAACAATACTATTACAATAATATTATGTAGTGGTTCGTGATTTTGTGTGTAGAATAGTAGGGAGATGCGCAAATGGGACGAAAACTGGTTTTATGTAATCATACCTATTTATTTAGTCATCACAGAATTCTATATAATAAAGTATGGAAGCCTATGTTAGTCATGTAGGCATGTAGCCCATGCGAGTTACGAGCAGTGGCTTATTTAAGAATTGTTTAAGGGAGGGGATATGGCATTGAATCACTTACACGAAAGGGGGGGGGGGCTTTTTCTCCCACCTTTCAAGTGTTCTACAATATGCTTCGATAAATAAATAATCAAAAAAAAACTGTATAGCAATAAATTAGCAGTCAGTGGTCCTCAAACTTTTTTGTTTGTGGAGCCCTTACGGCTTACCTAAGTTGTTAGGAGAATTCTACGGAACCCCAAAAATTTGCTTGTTAATTTGTTTTTTACAATACATATAATATAATCATTAGGTAACAATAAAAGAAAAAATATAACCTTTAACCAACTAAAGTCTCGCATCGTTTTCGTCTTCCCTACAAAACAAATTTTTTTTTTTTAATATCATAGGTACAAGTAGCAGGGGGGCTACGTGCTTACATTGATGTTAAAAATGTTAACCCCCCTAAAATTGTAATGGACTTCTGCCTATTATTAATAAAATAAACATGATAATTGATAAATGATAACCCAAATATTATTTTATTTTAATTTAATTCAAATATGTCCATGCAGAATCTAGGACAAAATATCCAACGGTCAAAATATCCAAATGTATACGTTTTTCCAAAAATAAGAACATTACACTTTACTTTCTTATAAAATTAGCTCGAATAGTCGAATATCAAATTATGTATTTAATTATAAAAATATACCTAATATATAATAATAATATAAATATAAATATATTATATAATATATAAATTACCTTAGTAGTACCTAATAATATCATAAAATATACTGCACAGATATTAGTCAAATAATCAAATAATATACTACACTATTTTCTAAAAATTTAGAAAATGTTTTTAAAAATTTTCTATAAAAATTAGCTCAAATATTAAATTATAAAATTAGTTAAACTTATATACGCTGTATAAGGTAATAATAGTAAAATAAATTACATTAATAGTAATAATATCACAAATTATATGCACACACTTTAGTCAAATAATATAAAATAATTTGTTTTTAATTTTTATGAATACAGTATACACACTGCAATAAAATAAAACAAAATATTAAATAATTTGCTAAAAAAATGACTACCTACACTACTTTCTAAAAATCTAAAAAAACGTTTTTGAAAATAGAAAAAAAAATATATATAAAATATTAAAAATATATAATATATAATATCAACAACAATTAAAAACTCAACGCAGGGGTGGATTGGGGGGATATAGAATTATATAGAAACCGAATTAGTTCCTAGATCCTTTTCTATTTTATTATAATTTTTTTATTTATATAATTTTAGTTGTTTGTCAAAACTCAAAATGCTTGACAATTATTTTACATTTTAACTATACATTTTATTTTATATTATTTGAGTATTTGACTAATGTTTATGCAGTAATGCAGTATAGTTGGTGATATTTGAGCTAATTTTATTAGAAAGTAATGTGTAATCTACTAATTTTCGTATTAACGGATAAATTTGGATATTTTGATCGATTACCGTCCATGCCCCTAGATAGTAGATTATAAGATCGTGAAAGGCAAAACACAGTAGTTTAGCCCTTTCTAGACCAAGCACTGTGGAAGATAAAAATAAATGAAAATAAAAAAGGTTTACAGCTATGCACATTATTAACCCAGTGGCGTCATTTGAGGGGGGCAAGGTGGGCATTTACCCATGTCTGATTTTAAAAGCGGCCCAATGGGCCGGTTCCCAGTTGTTGACGTTTTACCATTATTATATTACTATTATTACCTAGCTCAAAAACATGCCTATTTTATAATAATATTATACATTGTACTAAGAAATTATTGTCTCAATGATACATTTTTACTAATTGATAGTTGGAATATATTTATATTTAGACGTGTGCGGCCGTGCGGGAACGTACACATTGTATGTATGAGTATGTATTTATGTATGTTTGTTTGTGTGAGTGTGTTTTGTGAAGAAAATGAACATAATATTAATATTGTTTTATGCACAACAATAAAATGAATTAGTATCATAATCTCGTACAGTTTAATTTCTAAAATGTTACCTATTTAATAAAAAGGGTACCATAAAAAAATGTAAGTAGATGAATGTGCAGGTCGCGAGCTGTTTTTTTACCCATTCGGGCCGGTCAAAACCTTTGCCCCCCTCTATTGAAAACTGAAATTACGCCACTGGATAAACCACCGTCCACCGTTGACACCGTAATCTTACTGTATTTTTAGAAAATATAGAAGGAATTGAAATTTTAAAAAAAATACAAGTATTAACATTGAAAATTTTAAATCATTGTAATAAGATAACTTAACAATATACAACTAAAAACAAAATTAAACATTAATTGGTAGTAGGTATTCAACATGATCTAATAGCTTTCAATTAATTTATATAAACTTCAAAATTCTTTTATATTATAACAAAACCAAAATGTAAAACATAGTTAATAAAAATATAATCAAACCTTAAACATTCTATTTTACCGAAAACGACCTTCAATATAATTATACTGCCTAGGGTATTCAATACGTGAAAACACATTTATGTACCGTCCAATTTTCGTAGATGGAAAATCTGTGTGAAATATTGACAAAACATTCTTGTATTTTCCTTTAGTCAAAAATGCATGTAATGTGTTTGATAATACATCAAACATAACTATGTGTGTTGGTAAATTATTATTACTTTCAGCAGAATACGACTCATCAAGCCACTTATTAGGATTTTCAAAAAATATATCAGCTTCATCAGTATAATTTGAAATGTCGTTTAGGTTTGGCTCACATGTTAAAATCCTTGCAGATATATTCAAATGAAGATGACTATAAAGTGGAGTTGAGTGACATGGCATTAGAAATAATAATGTTGAATTTTGTGGTATCTTAGCTAAATGTGGCATAACCCTGATAGACCCAATTTGATGATACCGCCCCAAATAAATCAATACTATGATATTTAATATGACCGTTAAGATTCCTAATTTTATAAACTTTCTACAAACTATGGAAATTTGTTGAGATGTAATAAAGAATATCATAGGAAACAATGGAAGTAGAAATCTTTGTTCTTTATGAGTAATCATACTTAACACTGACAAAGACCAAAATACTGTGATTATCAACTTGGAATCAGTATCATTAAGATCAAACTGTCTTATTTTTTTTATAAAACAATAAATGAATATAAAAAATATAGGTCCTAACACTGGTGGTAATCCACAGACAAAGTACCAATACCAATGTTCAACGGAATAATGAGCATTGACTTTTTTTATAATATTATAATACAAAAAATTCCACTGTGTAACAACAAAAGAACCGTGAAAGTATGTATCTAATGTTATAGAAAGAATAAGTGACGTCAAACCAATACAAATATACCTTGCTAGGTTATTTAGAGTGTAACGTTTATGAGCAAAAAAATCAAATACGATTAATGGTAGCCACACTATTATTGCTGTTGGGCGCATAACACAAACAAGAGCTACTATCCATAAAAATTTGACGTCTTTATTTCTCAATGACCAAGGGTAATAATATAAGGCAATTGTTGTCAAGTTGGTTTCCAATGTGTTGACTAAGGTACGCGTCGAACAATATGCCAAAAACGGATTTGACATATAATAAACGACTGGCCAAAATACATTTGAATATTTAGAGTTTTTCTGTACCCAGGACACAAAACAGTAATCTGAGAATGTTGAAAAAAGTGTTTGTATAAAGCGTGGACTCCATATTAAAAATTGTAATGTGTCCAGGGAGAAAAAATTTAAAATCTTGTATATTATTACAATCCATGAAATGGATAAGTAACTTCTTATACCGACAATCCACTCCCAAGTGCGGTATCCAAAACCAAAATTAATATAATGAGCTATCTCCAAAGACTGCCAGTATTCATCTGGGACATAAAATGAACGAATTATATATAGATGGAACAATCTTACAGCCAATAATGATATACAAACAGTCAACGATGTTGGATATTTCATGTTTCAATAATGGACAATTGCACATTTATGTAACTTCTTAATTTTTCTTCTTTTTCTTTTGATGATCAATCTGAAAAATACATAATATAAGTAATTTATTTATCAATAATTATGACATGGATAAGTTAAAGGCTAGTTTACTTAAATATTTTACAGTCTTAAAACAATCTGTATTCAAAGAGATGTAAAATTAAATGCAACTATTTCAAAGGCTGTCATATTTCAATCAAATACTTGTTTGAAATTTAACTTAAAGATGATTAAGTTCATTAAAATTATACAATAATAGTATGATATTATATAAAAGCATTAGAATTCATTCAATAGAAAAAATTTATAATTTATTTTACAATATTAAAAATTATTTTTTTTCATCCATAATATAATAAAACTATTATTATTTAATAAAATACCTTCAAGAAGTTCAAGATAAGACAAACGTTCAAGTCGTTTATATGAGAGACTGGTTACGTTTTTAAGTTCTTAATATTATACCAATAATTATATAAAATTAATATTAACTATTAAGTACTACCTATTGGCTATTAGGTGCCTAATTGGAAAATATGACATCAACAAATACTACATATAAATTACATAAACATTAAATTTAAATTTTTAAGAGATTTAATGAGACTTATATCAGTGGTTTTATAAATTATTATTCAATAGATACTCGCATAATCGCATTTTTCATTTAACAAGTTTCACTGTTTAATACTGCTGGCAATGCTGTTGTAGTGCTGTTGCAATTCAAAAATCAAAATCTTATCTTATCTATTGTTTACAGTTTACTTGTGTCTTGACTACTCTTGAGCATAGACCTATAGAGACATTTATTGATGAGTCTATGGTCTTGAGCACGACTTTAAATTGTTCTGTGGTGATGCTATCCGCATTCTCTTCTTTTTAATTTTTTCTATTAGCTTTTATTATGAAGATTAGAATAGATTATTAACTATACAATAATGAATTATACACATGTACAAATGTACAAACTTTGAATAGGTAATTGTTCAAGCTATAAAATGTACCAAGAGTCATGGTTTTAAAAATGTATATATTATCCAAAAAACCGTAAAAAACATGTCATGAAAGTATACATCATGACAATTTAAACTATATTTTGTCATGGTATAAATTATCTCAGTGTGGCCTACGATTTAGAGATAGTACTATCTTAAATCGTGGTGGGGCCCATAGAGTACTCTATGGGTGGGGCCAATCAATATGGCCGATGACTGATAACAGGTAGATATTAGATAACTCCAATCAATTTATCAATAACATTATTATCAATTGGCACGTGGTTTTAACTTTTAGAAACAATATTTATAATTATTAATTTACCTGTTTTCTTTACCTATTTTGCATTGTATTGAGCATTCGAGCCTAAAGGATTTCAAAGTTTCGTAGTTTTTTAATTATTCTTTATTCGAGTGAGTTTATGAGTTTAATTTATCTATTCTGTGGTTTAACGTTGTACATAGGTAATTACTGTTTATTGTTTATAATGTGCATTTCCATTTGAATGTAGGTTGGAAAAATGGACGAAGAAACGTTAATTGGCTTTAATGATATAGCCACATTAAAACCAGAGGTCAAACAAAAAACTGGCAAAAGATCGGGAGGTTTCCAAGCCATGGGATTGAGTTTCCCTGTACTGAAAGGAGTACTTAAAAGGGGTTACAAAGTTCCCACTCCTATACAGAGAAAAGTAAGGCCGGACCTAGAACCTATGTTGTTCTTGACATTGTTTAATTGTATTTTCCCCTTTTTGGCATTATTTTTCAGACAATCCCTATTGCTTTGGAGAACCGTGATGTTGTAGCTATGGCTCGCACCGGTAGTGGAAAAACCGCTTGTTTTTTGATACCAATGTTCGAAAAATTGACTCAGCACACTGTAAATGGCCATAGAGGAATACGCGCTTTAATTTTATCACCAACTCGAGAACTTGCTGTTCAGGTAATATTTTATGGAATTATAAATGTAATTTCTGGACAATACAATGTCTTAAAATCCTTAATATTCATCACACATGGAAAACATTATAAAAAAATTGTTATGCTGCTGTGAACTAACCAATCCGACTACATTCATAGTTTTGTGTGTGTATTTTATGTTATATTCGACAGGATTGGAAGCTATTGGGGTTAACTTGATAGTTTCTGATATTAATTAAAATAAGTATCCCATAATGTTATTATGGGAACCATTGTTCCATTAACATTTAATCATATACAATTAATCAATTAATTAATGTTGTATATCGAGTAACTTAATGTTTATTAAATTAATAAGTAACTACTTTATTAAATATTACATTACCCTCAGTTGCCAAAAAATGAATTAATATAATAATATATTTTTCCAAGTACCTATTAGTATTATGTTTTTTAATAAATTACGACTTATCTAATTATCTATACTCTGTTCCACATTGAGATCAGTATCGGGCAGCGACCAGTTTTCGTTTGAAACGTCAGGCGCCGTCCCCACTGTATTGATCACGTTATGTTCTGTCACTTGATTAAACTACATCCATGCTCACAATTTGGCCTCACGGTACTGATTTCATTTGGAACAGAATATAAGTTATGTAGCCTGTAGAATAGTTTTTGTAAGTTCAAAATATATTTATGGTATATTGTGTTTGATAGATAAAAAAGACAAATCTTATTAATTTAAGTTATCATCTATAAAAGTATTGTTTATATTGTGAATATATTTTGATTTCAGACATTGAAGTTTTTAAAAGAAATAGGAAAGTTTACTAATTTGAAATCGGCCGTGATATTAGGAGGTGATCCAATGGAACCCCAGTTTAGCACAATGCACAGTGCTCCAGATATTATTGTAGCAACTCCAGGTCGATTTTTACATTTATGTGTAGAAATGTCTTTGAAGTTGCCTTATATTCAATATGTAGTTTTTGATGAAGCAGATAGGTAAGTTTCTTTTTAATTAAATCGATTTACTATATTATATTTTATAACCAATATATGTTGTTTTATAGGCTTTTTGAAATGGGTTTTGGTGAACAATTAACAGAAATTATTGCTCGTCTACCTGAGACTCGACAAACGTTGCTTTTTTCAGCTACTTTGCCAAAAGTTTTAGTTCAATTTGCTCGAGCAGGACTTTCTGATCCCGTTCTTATAAGGTTAGATCTATATTATAGTTGTTCTTAGTGTAATTTTGATGAAAATATAATTTTTATTCAACCCTTTAACCTTTTTAATATAGCTTATACCAGTGGCGTATTTTGAAATTTTTTGTGGGGGGGGTCTAAATATTAGGTACCTACAAGTTTATAATATAAAAAAAACACATACGAGTTACGATGTAATAATTATATTATATTATATTTTTTTCTGGGGGGGGTCCCGACCCGGGGACCCCCCCCGTAAATACGCCAGTGGCTTATACTAGATATCCTAAATGTTAGTCTTGAATATTTTAAACTTTAGATTGGATGTTGAGTCAAAAATACCTGATACACTAGGACTAGGATTTTTGAATGTGAGACCTGAAGAACGAGATGGTGCTCTATTATGTCTCCTGAAATATGTTGTCAAACCAGATTCTATGACTATAATTTTTGCTCCGACCAAACATCATGTTGATTTTATTCATTTAGTAAGTTTTCCTGAAAAATACTTTCAATATACATTTTGTATCCATTATCATTGTCCATTGATTATAAATACATAGTACAAATATTTATAATCAATACTTTTATCTATTGGATATTACAAAATCTATGTGGTATATTATTAAACGTATTTCATAAATTAGATTTTATGTCATTTTTATTTTAGCTTCTGGATTTTCAAGATATATCAAATACATTCATATACTCTGATTTGGATCCAACGGCCAGGAAAATAAATGCTAGTAAATTTCAAACAGGCAGTGTGAAAACTCTCATAACAACTGACATAGCCGCGCGTGGTATTGATATTCCACAGTTAGATACAGTTATCAACTACACATTTCCAGCAAAGTCTAAATTGTTCGTGCACAGAGTTGGTAAGTAAATACTAATACCTATTAGATATAAAATATATGTTGTTTTTTTTTATCATACTTAACAACTATTGTCTATTATTATTCTATAGGGCGGTGTGCTAGAGCTGGAAAAGTTGGTCAAGCATATAGTTTAGTGACACGTGACGAAATGTGTTACTTATTAGATCTACATTTGTTCTTGGGTCGTCCATTTAGCCCGGTGCTCGAAACACCAAAGTCCGATGATGATACTGATGGCCTTTTCGGTATAGTACCTCAGTTGTTATTGGAAGAAGAACTAGGACAGTTGACAAGCTGGTATACATCATCCATTGATGTGGTAAGCTTAATGTTTTGCATATGCAATCAAAAGACATATTATTATTTCTTTTATTGTATAGATTATAAAATATGTTATGTATTGTTCTAGATAAATTCTCTGAAAACTTGTACAAATGGTTATAAACACTATATCAAGTCTAGGCCAGGGGCGTCTGTTGATAGTGTTCGTAGAGCTAAGAAAATTAACTTATCAGTTATTGCAGAGCATCCAATGTTTCAGAAAATAATTGCAGCAGATATGAAACGTATTGATTTTGTTAGCCGTATTAAAAACTTTAGACCAGAAACCGTAAGTCATTGTTTTCAAGTTATGGTGCACAATAAGAGGGAATAAGTTAATTAAGTCAAAATTCACTAAATTAATTTAACTTTAATATTTTAATTATTTCGGTAGAAATTTTCTATTTAGGCAAAGATACATCTATTTAAACCACTATTAAATACCAACTAAGTGTCGTAATACTTAATTTAAATATTATATTCTTTTATAGACAGTTTTTGAAATGGGTCAGTCTACAAACTCAATACCATTACTTCAGATGAAATTGTTAAGGGAAAGAAATATGCCTAGCGTTATTAACTATCATCGGAAAAAGCGTGAACAACTCGATGATTGTGAAGGGGTGCGGTTGAAAAAAGTTGATTTGCCATCGAGTGATCAAACTGAGATTAGTGAAACATTTAATGACATTATCACACAAAGACCTCGCGTAACTGGTCAAAAAAAGAGAAAAAATCTAAAAAAAACAAAACAAACAAAACAACCCAAACAAGCAGTTAAGTCGGAACATTTTATACCATACCAACCAGCTGATTGTTACACAGAAGAGGGGTAAGTGAATAAAAATATATAAACTTTAAAATAATTTTAAACACATGGTCTTACACATTGTATTCTTTCAGTTTGGCTATTGATAATTTGAAATCGAGTGAAGGAATATTGGATTTGATGGGCGATTCGGAACAGTCATTAGCTAAACAACATTCGAATAAACGTAAATGGGATCCAGTGAGTCATAAATATGTAACTGCACAGAGTCTTGAGAAAAATCAAGTGAAAAAAATCAAATCTGAGTCTGGGCATTGGATACCAATTACATACAAAAGTGATAGGTATGAAAAATGGCAGGAGAAATCAAAATTGAAGAACTCTGCAGCTGAAGGAAATAATGAAGAAGATGAAAAGAAAATAGCACCTTGTAAGTACAATATAAATGTAATATTTTTGGAAGCCATAATCATTAAATTCTATCCGTTCATACTTCATATCTAAACCGATTAACCATAGTTATTGAGATTGCCAGGTGAAGAATGGTCCATAATCTCATTAGAAAACTATTTAAAGATGCTGGCCTTGGAATATTTTAAAATTCCACATATTTTTATGATTTAATTATTATCATATTATTTATCAACAAGTACATTAATTCTGTAAACTTTGCGTTTTATCCTTTTAGTGTTCCGGTTTAAATTAGACACTCGTTGGGGACGTCACAATGCTAAATTGCGTGAACAACAATCTGAAAGCCGTCTGAAATTGGACACTAAACACATACTGAAACAGAGAATAATTAAAGACCACCGTAGAAAGAAGAATGGCAGAAAACCTGTTAAAAAAGATAAAATTCGCAAGAAGAGTGCTAAATTTAATAAAATTTAATCGTGTAAAATTATTGTTGAGGACGTTAATGTATAATTACTTATTATTATAAAAAAAATGAATATTAATTATTATAAATTATAGTAAACGAATTGTCATTTCAAACTTTCATGACTTCTCGTTATTACAACAACAACACTGTATATGAATAACTATTTTTAGCAAAATCGAGATTAACTGTCTACCTAAATAACTGAAGTGTGTAAAAATAACTGCGGATTAGTGTTTGAGTGCCTAATATAATATGTTTATATTCCAATAAAATTATTATATTATTTTATATTATACACAACAATTTAGTTTTTTATACGGAGTAATAAGATGATGTCAGACAACTGTTATGATGTAGGAGGTGTGATAATCTGGAAAAAAAAGTTCCTACACTTTGTATTTTAGTGTGTAATGTATAAAATGCTTGTAGTTAGTACATATCTTGTTATCTATCATCATAACTTACTACTTAGGATCTTTCGATCCTATACCTATTTGGTATTTTGGTCATAATGTAAGAAAGAGGTGTGATTAAAATATTATATTTTTAATTGCACTATTATAATAATTATGTTGGTACTATTGTATTTATTATTTTAGACTTTAAATTAATTGTATTTTTCCTAGTGTGGAACCTTTAGTCAAAATATAAGACAGACTACAGAGGTGTGATCAGTGGTGCCGAAGTACAAAATTAAATGTATGGCAAGGATCTCCGACAACCACCCATCCCACCCCACAAAACCCACTAAGAAAAATTGTAACATCTCACAATTTGTCACCCACTTTTGTTTTATTTTTGATCACATTTCTCTTCTTTTTTCAACCAATCCGTATGAAATAATATTAAAATAATATTTAATTACCTGCAACGGCTGCATCGATAGTACAAAATACAAAAATATAAACAAAGTGCAACCTTTTATATTATATTATAAATTATAATATTATGTATACAATATTGTTATTACTCTCAATGGGCAATATTACTTAATAATTTGTGATCCTATTCCTATTAATTTTCATAATTTTATTCTCCTATATACAATAAATACATTAAAAAAACCTACACATAATTCGTTAAAAATAGTAACAATATAGTGATTTTTTCATACTATTATAAGTGACATATTAAATAAATTAAACAAATATTCTACAGTTTTTGTCCCCACTTGACCCTCCCCCCAGCTAAAAAAAAGTTTTCTTTGTAGCCTGGTAATGATTTGAATGGCCTGCAAACATTTTGGCACCAAAAATAAAAAGTTGAAATGATGCCCCTGAGGTACCTACTTGATAAGTAATAACTATTAAGGTGATCGCAGTCACATCAAATCACGTCACATTCGAATTTAATTTTTCATACGTTTCAAAGTTTTAGACCAAATGTCTGTGGTAAATTACACATTAATATAGGTAAATTAATCGGTTAAAAAATTGTCTTCAGACAAAAAAATAAAAAATATCCTTGTAAAAACAATACATTAATCGCTTTGCTCAGAATCTTAAAATTATTATTATAATATTATGTATTAATCTAGATTAACCCGTATTCGATATTTTCGAATGATTATCGTCACGACGTCGTGTAGTCATATGATAATGTAAAACCAATCGGTGGAAGTACAAAAATGATAGTGGATTTGTAACTGAAAGACCAAAGTGCCATAATAGTTGTGTATGTGATAATAAATAAAGTAATATAATGCTATCATATGTGCCTAACATTACCTTTTAGTAATAATTTATTTATATTAAAATAACTATAATTGAATAATAATCGTCAATCATTTCATCATTGGCACAACTAGGGACATGCTGAGGGGACTAGTGTACCCCCAAAAAATAAAAGACTTACCATTATATTTTTATCAGGTATTTTGAAGTAAAAGTTATCAATAAATACAAAAATGTTGTATTATACCATTTATACCTATATATTGTATATTGAGGAATAAAATATATATAGGTACTTTGCTACTTTATTCCCAGCGACCCAGCTATAAGTTATAGCCTATATTTATAACATAATATTATGAAATAATCTTTATAGATTATATTTTAATGTGTCGTACAGAACAGGTCACAGACACGTAGTTATTACCATTTATTATATAATACAGTGTATTACTTAATCAATGTTATTACTTATTTGTATAACAATTGTTATAATATTATTATTATTATTATTATTATTATTATTATTTTCATTAACTAACCCGCGGCAACTTAGGCCATTGGGTGGTTTTTAACTGTGGGGGAGCCGGGAGGGTACTGTAGGTTTTAAACACGAGTGTTTTTAATTTGGCAGAATTTTCAAGTGGGCACTCGTAGGTATCTGCCATGCCCGGGTGGGGGATAGTGGCCTCTCTCTCCAGACACCATGACTGCCCGAAGAGAAGTGCCGCCCATGGCCGGGGTTTGAACCGGATGCGCATCGCAACCGACGACTTAGTCTGCTCGGTCACTCCTTCTTCCCATAATATTATTATATTATCGATTGACGAAATAACTTTGAATACAAGATAACGACATTTTATCTTTATCTTTGACTGGATGAAAGCCTATGAATGTAAGCGAGTTGTCATTGTCTCCTTGTTTATAATTTGTTATTGAAGTGTATTGATTATTGTCTATTGAATATACTATTATAATAGGTCGTATCATTTATCACAAAATATTTGTTTTTTCAATTTTTTACATACAAATGGGGCCGCACGCCCGCACAGATCTTTAGAAAAAATTATCGTCTGAACTGCACTTCTGCAGCTCCCGAGGTTTCGTAAATTTGCACTTAAACCACTTGTGATCTATACTGCTCCAAAAATATATTTCTTTAATCTCTACCTACCGCTGTCTTATGTCATATAGATTTTTTATCCAGGTTTATTAGTATTTGTGTTATTTATATTACTTCAATGTACTAGATGATATAGGATGACTGCAGCATCGTATAAATTTCCACACCACCTAGCTAATTAAACGACATCACATCACATCATCCATGTCGTTTAAAAGCATGAGGTATTATACGTGGCGCGTTTTTTTTTATTGTGGTGTCCCCTGTAGGCCTAATCCACATCGCAAGCGAGAACATGCGAACGCCGATTGACTATAATATTGTAATTTACATAGATACAGCGAAACTGCACTACTCTTGCATAAAATTGTTCGTTATTTATACATCGAAAAACATATTTTAATATAAATAAACAAATATCGAATTTAATGTTGAATAGGTTTTATTGTTTTAATTCAAACTTTTAATTTTGTCGCAACACGGCATTCTCACATTTTCGGCTTACTATAGCGTTGAATTTTAGTGTGTTTCAGCCTCTGGAAAGGCGAGCTAGGCTGCCTGCTGCTGGTGCCAAGGGATTTATATTTATCATATATCATTACAGTAAGTCCAAGAGGAGTAAAAATACAGTAGCTTTAAATTATTAGGATGACATCCCCCTGATCTTTATTTAAAATTCAACACTGTCTTCATAATTATAACTATAACTAGGTATTTTATCATTAGGTACTATAATTATTATTTTTATTATATATATTATAATTTATTTATTATTATTTAGGAATTACCAAAGTCATATTTCTAAGTCTCCTACCACTCACTATTCCTATTGGACCTCTTAATTCAACCTGTTTTAAATGTCGTGAAACTCATTCATTCATAAACATTTTTTTACCGTCCTGGAACAAAGTGCTTATTTTGTGTGTGTGTGTGACACCGGCCGACGATAGAGTTTGGTGTGGAGATGGAATGGTGCAGGAACGACAATATTCAATATAAATACATTTTACAAAATACTTAATACATAAAATTATCTTACTTGGTTTAGGCATCTATACTCTATAGTTAAGCTTACTTATCCACCGATCAAGACTTATATAAAAATAATTCCTTATCGTCACCAGGCGCGGACTGGCTGGGGTGCTGGGATGTTACAGCATCCCTTGCCCTAAAATATATTTGCCTAATATTATTTATTATATATTTAAAGACTCTAGACACCTTATGAACAGCAGATTGTTACCAATTTACGATTACTAGTAATCTATAATATTGTACAATTTTGATTGAAAGTTAGTTGTAACTTATTATTTATTTACGTTTTTAAAGTATATTCAATACTTTTTTAAACAAAATAAAATATATTAATATTTTATAAATAATCTACATGTTTTAAATTTGCCCAACAATTTTTGTTATTTGCCCTTTAAATTGTGTAGCATCCTGTGCCCTATTTTACCAGTCCGCGCCTGATCGTCACTTGTACTTAATAACTTTTCTATAAATCTTGACGGGTGATGAAACATTGTTGATGCATAAAAATATTTCTTCAGATACCTATGTGGCCTTAGAGATATAATCCTTCGTTAATAATTGCATTCATTGTTGATGCGCGTGCGTCTATGAATCTAAAAAGTGTAATTGTTCTATGTTGAAAATAAAAAGAACTTATACTTTACGAACGAAAAGAAAGTTAAAAAAGTTAAAAAGAATATAGGAAAACTTTTAGAAAATAAAAGTTATAACAGTAATTGGAAAAATATAAATATTATTAACGAAAGTAAAAACTGATGAATTATATTTAAAAAAATAATGTATTTTGAACAAAATTAAAACGGTAACAATATTAATGAGAAAATTAATAACTACCTAGGCATCATACTATTGAGCCAGCATAATATTATATATTATTTATTATAATAATATTTATGAAGAACTTGTTAGTGTACGTTTGTTTATATTGTGTTTGTGGCCAACAAATTAACTCTGAGTTAAAAAGTACCAACTCAACTGAATAAAAATAATTGTAATAGCATTATTGATTAGGGTGTAATTGATATTATAGGAGAGGTGGACCACGTCGTCCAGAAGTCTGAACTAGCAGTAATTTAAATATACACAATTTACTGTCCGAAAAATTATGTAGTTGCCACAATTTAGTACTTACTGTTACTGTTTCACAAAAATATTAAAAATATAGGTCAAGTTGAGCCTACGCATTTCATTCATGTAAAACCACTTTTAGATAAAAAAAATTTAGTCCTTCAGTAAGAGGTGAGGTACCATATTGGATAATAGATTTAAAAACTATTAATGGGCAACTAATATTTGAAACATCTATTTCAAGTTTTTTTTATGTTTATTTAAGTAGGTACTCAGTAAGATGTTTTATATGATTTTTAATATAATATTCAATATTTAACCTACTGCAGTGCCTAAATCTAATTTACAATTCTCAATTTCCTACTTTGCCCGTAACATATATAAAAGATCACCTAAAATTATAAATCTAGTCACAGAAGACGTGTTGGATGAGGACATCGAGCCGGGCCAGGGGTATAGCTGTAAAGAACTATATAGTTTTGCCAGTTTTGGTGAGCTGGTCGGTTGGCTGGACTTGGCAGCAGCACCACCAGGAAACTGAAATTCACCTCGTACGAGGTGGAAAATCGTCAGACGCTTTTTTCGCGGTCTGGAGGCGGAGGCGACGGAAGACGGCGACGACACGGCTGCTATATAGTACCGGCGCGGGCTACGATTCCGCCCCGACGGTACACCGCCTCAGTACGATGGCAATAACGATTCGGTACGACGGCAATGACGATTCGGTACGACGGCAGCGACGGAGACTTCGGCACTGGGTGAGTGGTATGGAGATTTGCGTACTAAGAACACGCAGACGTCAGCGGCGCCGAACTCGCGGAAACTTAACTGTTATTCACAGGGTCTGGCGGCGGAACGAAGACGCGACCGAAGGGATAACGCCAGGGCGAAAATTACCGAGATTCAACGATCGCGCTGTGGTCCGCTAACGGTTCGCTCGTCCCCATACCGGTTCCACAGCACTAAATCTCACTTCGCTCGCTCCGCGTCTTGGTTTTCGCCGTCCGTGGGCCGAGTCGTCAAGCCCTAGCGGCCGTCCGTCGCAGTCAACCGTGGTAGCTCCCGTGGAAGTTTCGGTCTGGCCTCGCCGGCTGGGCAAGGTCGTCAAGCTCCCGAGCAAACGCGCCAGTGACACTCGTCAACCCGCGGGACCGGTCGGAGAACGTGCATAGGTGACCAGGGGCCAGCATCACTGCATTTCCGCACCAATTCGCCGACTCGCATCCCCCCCCCCTTGTGTTTATTGTATCTCCTGTCCATCGTATATATTTTTTAAATTTTATTAAATTATCTCAAATTGTTAAATTGTTTACATATTATTGTAAATTTCCATTTTTTAAAAAAAATTATTTTTTTGTTTAAAACTAATAAACGCATTTTGATGTGAACAAAAAAATATTGTTTCTTTTTTTTTCGTTTTGTTGAGTGTATAATCAACATTATACTAAACTTTTAAATCTATAGGCTCATAAAAATAATTTTATTAAGAGTTACAACTTACAAGTGTTATAACGTACGCGGTTTCTTTAAAATATAATAATTAAGCCGAGTCGTTAATGTAAAATGTTTATACAGATCAATTTGGCGCAAATAGGCTGTCTCAAAAAACATACCTTTTTTATTTTGGCCTAAATAGACTGTACCCAAGCGAATTAATTTTTTTGGAGCTAACGGGTGATTCCCAAATTTTCATTGTGGCGTTTCGTGGAGGGCTCTACCCCCACGCCTTCCCTTTACCGATTTATGTTAATGAAATGTTTTAAAAAAAAAATCATGCCTGTGTAACTTTAATATTTTTAAATTAGTTATAATATCAAAAAGCTACAAAATACCTTCAACATTTGAAATATACACCTATTATTACCAAAAGTTTTCGAAAAAAATTCCCAAAAATCAAGCTAAACTGCATTGTTTAAATATATTTGTGCGATATTCAATTTGAAAAAGTAAATAGTGTTTATTACGAAGTAATATTATCTTAGTTACAGCTACCATAGGGGATCTGGCTTTTTATTTGTTGTTTCTATAAAATAATAAAATATACTATATTAGTACCAGTAAATAATAAGTACGTAAATAACTAAATAAGGTTCGCAAGTTAAAAAAAAGTCACGGGCGATACGACACCATCCCCCCCCCCAGTAACTACGAACTAATACAACTACGAACAACTGAGTTTTTGATCAGAACGATAGATAGTGAAATAACAAAGGTAATATAAAAATTATAAAATATCTACCTAATAATGAGTCATGAATTAGATGACAAATTGACAACCAATAAAATTACGTGGTGGTTGAAAAATCAGGTGCAGCACAGGGTAAGTCTTAAATCGTATTTACTACCCAGTAAGTAAGTACCTAGTACCTACTCACCAATTGACACGGTCCAAATGTACATGTCATGAATTGCCTAAATGTTACTTATTAAAACGTACATGTACATGTAATTTTTTAGATTTCCAAAATAATCAATTTTTTTTTGAGTAAATTAATTTAGAACGTAATAACTTTTTTAAAAATATTATTTTTTGGGAATTTCATGATATCAGTATATTTCTTAAATTATTTATTAACCATATAACTTTTACAATTTTTGTTATACGTAGGTAGTATCAATTTTTTTTTTTGCCAGGTCTGTTATTTTACATCCTACTACAGTATACTCGCAAGACTATACTTTATTTACTTCGAGCCCGATTTGATGTTTGAGAAAATAATATATTATATAATAATACAATTATATAATTATAATTTAAACTAACTATAATATATTATTATATAAATAGAGAGTAACTTTGCAAATATCGGTGTAGCTATTGATTTATCATTATTTGCATGTCCTTCTGAATCATATATAATATTATTATATTATACTGTCTTATTATAATAACAATCGGTTGAGATAAAATTTATTCCTTCTATTAATAATATATTAATTTTTTTAATGCACTTATTAAATTCCGTATCGCACATAATAAATTTTAGGTACTGAACACGGTAGGTACCATTATATATATATATGTATACGTTCAACGTATAATATACTATAAGATGGTATAATTATTGTTTATATATATACAAAGAAATATAATATATATTAATATTAAACAAGACGTTTTTAATGTCGGTTATAAATTTAAAAATATCAAACAAACTTCTACTATAGAAGTGAATAAATTTATATAAAACATTTAAAATTAAATTAAATACGACTCGTTTAAATTCACAAGTTTTTTTTCAATAAATTATATAAAGGACAATAACGGGATTGACAATAATAATATGTCCCGTCCGCGCCAAAAATATTGTCGATTGTCGTCTATATAAATAAATACCTATATATTATACTTAAATACTTAATAATCTATCAACTTCATCCTCAAATGTTTATTATTAATCTTTTGTCCTGTACAAACAAACAGTATTTAAATGGTACAATTATTCATTTAATATATTTTTTTTTTACATTGAGGCAGAAGTATATAATAAGTTAAATTCATTTCTTTCGTGGTTTTTTTTTTTTTTTGAAATTGGTCTTTCAGATATTTTTAGATTACGGAATTATCATTCTTATTCTTCCTCTTCCTCTTCCTCTTCCTCTTCTTCTTCCTCTTCCTCCTCTTCTTCCTCTTCTTCCTCTTCTTCCTCCTCCTCTTCTTCCTCTTCGACCTGCAAAAATAATCGAAATCGAAAAGGGTTAGTAAATAACATTTAAGGACGATAAACAATATCGTGGTAAATAGCACGGGCATTTACTTCTTCCTCAGCTTCTTCGTCGGAAGGTAAGCCGAAAGGTTCTTCATCTTCCTCGTTCTTCTTGAGCTCTTCCTCTTCGGGTGTGTCTGGGTCATCCTTCTTCTTGCCCGGACGTTCGCCGAACCATTTCGGTAACCGTCCTGCGAACACGGCACGGGAGAGGTTTAATTAACACGAACACATTATTATATTTACACGTTCAGAGTAGAGGAACACAAACGTCTTTTTGGGTTTTGTAAAATGATTGGTTTAGACGGGTAGATAGGTAAGGTAGGTCGGTAAGCAGGCATATTTGTTCATAATATTAGATAGTCAAGTAATATAAAAAATGGTAAAAAAAAGCACTAAAATGTGAGTAAATCTAATAAATTCTCGACTGCTCGAAAATTAAATGAGACATGAACAATTTCAGGTGGTAATTAGGTGAGACGTCGAGAATCTACTGCAATAATATTGTTATAGTTTTACCTTGTTGTTGCATATTGTGGTAAACAGTAAATTTATATAATATGTTTTATAAACATTTTACAAAAATCATATAGGTAAGCGATTGACTCTTGTAACACTCAAAGTGTATAGAATGAATTAATTAATAAATCACGGATTGTGAAAATATTCTTAACTGAAATTTTCTTAAAAATCTTTTTTACATAAATACCGAGTAACTGATTTGGCAAGGTAAATATTATATAACTGGACATTTATAATACGATGTGTGCGTAGAATAATAAAATATAAATTATAATATGCACAAATCTGATAAGTGATAATTGTAGATATAATGATTTTAAGAATAATTATCGAACATTTCAAACAAGCTGTAGGTCTTTACACGGTTTATTGTGAATAATATAAATTTATATATCAAAATCACTCGATTACAGTGATTCATAAGTACCCATTAGGTACTCCTAGAAAGTAATCTGAATAATTGTTTAACTCGAAAATTGGAATTAACGAAATCGACGAATTTGACGATGAATCTCCATAAACGGATTTTATACAAACGGGTTTATTACTTACCCTTAGCGCGGCCACCGAATTGGTCACTCTTTTCTGTCCATTGTTTTTCCATCGATTCTTTAGTGGTTTCCATATAACCCTAAAAAAATTCAAACAAAAAAAAATAGGAAAAGGTATCGTGCATGCGGGTACGAAAAATCAAAACATGGATTTGGCCGAAAATAAATGTTATAAAATGCGGATATCTAAATCGGGTGCGATATAGGCTATGGTAGGGAAACACGAGAGGGGATCGACAGACTTTGTATTACTGATGATGGACGATTATAGTATGGCATAGGTGATAGGTGTTTCTGGCCGTGAGGGTAAAGCATGCCGAAAATCGTAACATGTTTACGTACTTCTACTTCTTTTCATGAATTGTTCGTATTTACGATTCCAGTTAGACTCGGACTTTTCGCCTATCATCTCTTCCAGACCCTATTTATTTCGTTAATATCTCTGTATAGATCTTTGTATACGTTTATAAAATACGTGCACACTTACTCCTTCGAACAGCTTCTTTTTGTCATCATAGGACCTTGTATCCACTCGCCTCTCGTACTTGGAAGCGACTTGGATCTTGGGCTAAGCATCGTATAAAAATATGTTAAGAAAACGCCAACCGAATAGTAAAATCATAATATGTATGTACTATGAACAAAATATACACGGTCGTTATGTTATATGGTGAGCACTTACTGGGTATTTGCCGGTTAGGGCTTCGGGGTCAAGACCCTTCTTCAGAGCCTTGTGGCGGAGCTGTTGCTTTTGACGTTCTTTCAACTCTTTCAACTGAAACACAAGCATTCATTATTGTGTGAGTCCGCATTAGATACCAACACACATCACGAAAACCAATATCCGAAAGTTTAAAAGATGACTATATAATGTAATATTATTGCATAGGTAATATTACTTACGTCGTACTCTTGTCTCTTCTGCCTTTCCTCCAAATCGTACTTTTCTGTTTCCAGCTTGATGATCTGGTCCCAGAGTTCAGTGGCTTTGAATTGGAGTTTTTGCACAGAGAAACCTTCGATGGTCAACGGTTTGATTCTGAAGCTCAACGATATTTTCTTTTCTTCTTCGATCTGTTCTCTGGTCTTGTTGCGTTCAAGTTGGGCAGATGTCATACTCAACGCCTATTATATAATATGAAATAAAATCAAAATAAATTGAATTGCATTACGAACAAATTAAACCCCTCGTCAACAATTGCATTGAAAACTTACGCCTTCTTTTTTGCTAATGGTGAAGTTGGGTCCTTTCGATTTATTTGTTTGTTCCTTGAGGGCAGCCATCATAGCTTGTCGTTTTTTCTCGGCCTCCTCCAGACGTTTACGTTTTTCTTCAATGTCCTTTTGTTTCTTTTCTTCCACTTCTCTTTGTCTGCGTTCTTCTTCTTGCTTTTTTCTCTCGGCCATCCTCTTCTCTTCTTCCGCTCTCATCACCTTGCGCTTGGCCTGTTTTTCCTTCAACTTCTTTAAGTCGTCTTCTTCCTTTGACCGTTGTTTGCGCCATTCTTGAATGTACTCTTTAAGCTGCTCGTCTAAGGCTGAGGATTTCATTTCTTGCCTCTGGTTAAAATCAAAAATCGTTGGTCAGTTATAAAAATAATTGAACACAGTTAAGGGTAATGCATATAGTTATAAAATTACATAAAATATTAACATAACATAGATCAATTACCTTAACGAATTCGGGATCTCCATCTCCACTAAAGTTTGCAAAAAGAAAAAGTAAAAAAAGTATATATTAATTTCGATATCAATACATTGTTTTTTTTATGGGTTGATGACTCCGTGGTGTTATTTGCCCTGCGGGGGGCTTGTTATTTATAATGTGTGATTAATAAATGGGTCATTTGAATTTTGGCACCAGTTAACTGTAACAGGATATATTGTCAGAATAAAAATAATTTTTAGTAACGATGCCATGTGGCCTATCGCCAGGCAAAATTAATATATAGTAAAGACACGCAAAATTTATTGTTAAAAAAATTTGCACACAAAAATCAGTTTTATGTATGTTTATACTTCAAAAAACATTTTAAATTAGTTAAGAAAAAACTTTATATTTTAATCGTTCTAAATCTAAATATACAAAACCTCTTAATATTGCTATAGCTAATATTTTATAATAAACATCTAACGTTTCTAATTTCCATTAAACTAATAAAATCAATACCATTCTGTCTACATTCTAATTTTTCTACTAAAACAATACTGCATAAACTAAAGGCTTATTGTATGGATTGTCTGCACTAAGCCTTTTCTACTTTCTACTTAAGAATCAACTCAGTACACATATTTTACTTTAACTCCCACTGCAGTAAACTTACTCTTTGCTTTTTTCAGGCTCCGGTTGCCTGCGCCAAAAATTGACGATTTAGACAAATTCCAAAAATATCACAAACATATAGAGTGTACACTGTACAGTGTACATACGTCGATTTGTATTTATAAATTGTACTTTCTTTCAGTAAATAATATAACTATTATTAATTTATGAACTCATATATAGTTGCATTTTAAAATATATATATAACTATTAAATACTATTATAGATAATAATAATATAGCCAAAGTGCAACGTTCGAAATATTCAAAATGTTGTAGAGTTTTTATATTATTATCATAATACTATGTAGGTAGGTATATATATAATGAAATGTAAAAATAATTCCTGCCACATTACGTTGTACACTCTATTAATAAGGAATAAGCCAAATAAACAATTCGGGTGCTCAATACACAAAATCATTTGGCTTATAACGTATTTACAATTTTTAAAAGCGAGCAAAAATAAGCAAGTTGAGCTAATGAAATAAAATCAAGTGACTGAAAATCGAAATTAACATCGTATAAGTGAATTCCTTGGCAAACATTTATTAATAAATCGTTTAGACAGCTATAAATTTTAAGTTCTTGTCACCGAGTTCATTTCTAGCTCAACATTCATATATATATGTACAATGCATTTGAAATTATTCTTCCAAACACTTCACTCTTTACAAAATTTTTTTTTTGTATCTCCAACATTTACATGTTTACTCGCTAATTCCTTTCAAATGCTTTTGCAGTAGCAATTTATAAGCGCAAAAAATAATTTAATATTTTGAAACTTACGTTTCCTCTTCGGAATCACTGAAACATATTATGTTCAATGTAAATTTTATAAAACGTATTTATATGTACCTAATCACATTGATGAACGACTAAAATATTATAATTTAGATAGACCTATAGACCGGTTAAATCTGTACCTACTAACCAAAAATATTCAAAAGCAAAATTTGTAAAAATAATTGTGAAAAACGTCTGTACTTATAACTTGTTGGTCTGTGAACCGAAAATTAATTTAAATGTTTGAAGTGTATTCGCAAGTATAATTTTATAAAATTGTCTAGTAAAAAATACAGTTACTCAGACGTTAACACGATTGTAAGTTATCGTTCTCATGCGTGTTGATATAGGTATATTATATAATACAGCCATATATAGTTAAGGGAAAACAAATTGTCCTCGGGTACTATAGAAAAGAGATTAGTTAAAAAAAAATTATAAACTAAATAAAATCAACGCAATTAAAATATGATGGAAATATTAATGAAGGAATATCTATATATTTATTATTTGTAGTTGATAGGTACATATATTTATTAATATTTCATTATTTTTTTAGAAATGGATATCATGCCCATGTGTTTTTTTTATATATAATAAAATCGATTTACTGTCATGTAAATGTCAAGAAGCTCGTGCTCACCGAGTTATTTAAAACATAAATAAAAATAAAAATATAGATTGGTGAATAAAACGATAAGGTCAACGAAGAACGTGAAAATATTACAATTGATTATTGCAATTTACATTGGAATGAAACTTGATCTAAACTCTAAAATAAAGTTTCATTTTGTCCGTCTATTTATTTTACGTAGGTAATGAAAATATCGCGTGCCTATCCACCATTCTAAGTATACAATTATTTCGAATATATTCGCGTAGACTATACAGGTAATGCACCTAAGTATAGTATTTTCAAATAAATGTAGTCGGGCACGATGTGTAATATATTGTGCAAATTTAAACATAACTCGGATGAACAATAATAACGTATTGGAACGTGTATAACGAATGTCATTAACCGACGTATTTATTATTCCAAAAAAAATAACTATCCAACCCATCCTATATTATTATCTACGGTATAGAAAGGTGATTTAATTTAAAAAAAATTACTTACGTGTACACTTCTTCTTCGTCAGACATGGTTAAGCGTGTGTCTAGGGCCTAGTCTCTGTAAACAAAAATAATCTAAATTAAAAACCGACCGAAACGTGTAAATCGCGGGCACACGAAATGGGTAGGTATCTCGTTCACCCTGTCCCAAGCGGTTTTATTTGAAAATGTATTTCTTGCGGAGAAACGACCGGTAGACGTTAATTCTGAAAATATGTGGGAGGGATCGGCGGCGGTGGATCCCGTTGATATTAATAGCTGCTGCCGGTTCGGGCTGCCAACATTGCCTTTTTACGACCCACAAAATCCTAACGCGTCTATTTATATAAAACGTGCATAGTACACCGGTGCGTATATAGTATTATGCGGAGAGACAAATCGTTCGGGATTTCGACAGTAATATAATATAGTAAAACACATAATATTATGGTCCATTACTGTATGTTCGGGTGTACGAATTCAGTTTTCTAAATCGTCACCGGGAAATCTATTGATTCTATATACACAAACAATAAATAAATACTTATTAAATACACCAGTAAAAGATTACTAAAACCCCGCTAGAGGGACCAGAAATAACAATTTTTTTTTTTGTAACAAAAAACAATGATTAATACTCCACATTAGGTAGATATACCTAGAGTATACTAGAGAAGACGATTGCTTTATTATATCTGTCGGAATAATTCGAGACAACTCCATCTAACAAATATGTGCGTTTAAGAGGACGCCACGCGGATATTTGTTGTCTCCGTCCTACAAGTGCTTAACATACCAAATTTACGCTCAGCAGATAACGTTTAGCTCCGTTAGTTTAAAAATTAAGAGTAAATCGATTGAATTGAAAAGTTCTGAGCGCTTTTCACAATAATAGACACCTGGTTATAGTGCACGTTTTCCGATAATGTTTTTCATGTCGAAATAATATGCACTGAGAAAAAGCTCTCAAACACATACAATATCCAACGGTCCCGACGTCTGCAGAATTTTTGCATTTTCACGATTACTAGGGTCTGTATAGGGTACATGAGAAAAAATTCAAGACCAGCTGATATAAAAAGGACATTATATCATATACGGTGCCCAACACGATCGAAAGAAGTCGTTTTGACGAGTGGGCGAAACAGAAAAAACTCCTGTAGCTCCCAATGCGAAACGCATATTATCATTATTCAAAGAACGGCACGACATGAACCCGGATAAACGCACTCTGGGTTATCGATTTCGTAGGAAAATCTTATGAAGATTTTCACCCGTCGTCCTGAAGTTGTCCACCGCCAACCCTCGATCGAATCCCGAATACGCCGACATGTGATTTAGGTAGGTAGGCACTCATCGGACCGTCTCGAAATCTCACGTAGGTTGTGAAAATATATAGCGAAATAGCAGGTAGGTTGATATTTCATAATTAGGGGTCTGGCGGACGCGATTACTACGATACAGTAACGAAATGTAGAGTCTGAGTACAATATTATTGTGTTATAATTAATATTATGTATGGATGGTGTACTTACAAAAAAGATAATATATGTATACCGCGACGGAGGTCCCACTAACGTCTGCGGACGACTGATCGCCGTTGGAGTTCGAGATCACCGATTAAACTCGTCCCCACCAAACAGGGGCTCGCGGACAGGAAATCTATCCGGGATATTTTTGGCATTTTCCAGTTGTATCGTATAAACACGTACACATACATATCATCATGTTTTGCGTATGGAAAATGTGGTGGAAAAAAAACGATAATAATAATAGAGACGACGAAAAAGACCATTCGATCCTAACTGACGGGTCGGTGGTGGAGGGGAGGATTTCAAAAGTGTGTCAAAAATATTAACGCACTCGCCGTTGCCCGCCATAGGAATTTATTATTACGTTGGGAGTATATCTGTGGTTTGTTTTTAGAATTCCCAGAGTACACGAACGTATTATTATCCGTCACCTCGGGTGCCACGAATTTTTGCCGACGACAGCGCCAGATAATTAATAATTAACACCTTAAATGACATTTTAATATTTGATGTCATTCATCTTTTGGGTAGATACATTGTACCTAAATATTATATATCAGACTCTTAATATGAGAAAAGAACCCAAGATTGTGCGATCGCATAATTTATATGTATATAATATGTACTATATAGAAAAATCATAAATGAAAATCTAGTAATATTCTCAATACATGAATGTCACAAATGTATACAATTATAATACATACAATACACAAAGCTTGGTGCATACATTTAATATAAAAAAATTAGTACTCGTTCATTAACAAACTAAATAGAAAAAAAATTCTAAATAACAAGCATTTTTTTTTGATTTTTATATGCTTGCATAATTTGATAGAATAGAGAAATATTTAAACACGGGTTCAGATAATTTAGTACAATAGTTCAACAAGTGTGTATAAATATAATTTTTGCTAGGTAGGTATGTAATTAACTCAATACAACAGATTTGTACTATGTAGTGACAGTAATAAAAATTATCAAAATGTTTTTAAGCAAATATCAATAGATCCTTAATTTTAAAATGCCCTCCTTCTTTACAGTTATATACTTTTATGTGTAATTTCATAAAATTATATAATTTATTGGCTAATGTAATATAAGTAGTATTTTATCCAACAGTAAAAAACACCTATACTATTATGGAATGAAGTAAGCATCAGTGGTAGAAATGGATATCTTTGATCAAACCTTAAAACCATCCATCCAACCTCAGTCAACAACAACAATGGCCCTAGACTTATTAAATACAATTTTTCTATACGATTCAATGATTTAAATTTACCAGTATTATACAAAAATGAAACATTAACTAAAAGTAGTAGTGATTTAGTAATGAATTCAAATGGCTTAAACAACAATGGAAAAACAGAATATGTAGAGATAGTCGATAACATTGTAAACATGGAACAGTCATTTGTAGAGGTGAATACTAATAATCTGTAAAAAAAAATAAACATGTGTCTATTTAGATATAAGATGAAAAGAAACATTGAATTGCTTACGTTAATGGTATGACGGCTAGCAGTAAAGCTTTCTCGTGAACATGCCAACCAAACATAAATGAAGTCAAACCACATAATATAAGGCATCGAACAAAATCAATAGGATTTCTGTCGGATTTCCAAAGTTTATATAAACATGGCTGGAAATAACAAAATATTAATACTTAAATAAATAAAACAAACATAATAATACATGAATAATCATTTTTAGTATTATACAATATATTATGTTCTATAAATATCTATCTCTGAATAGTTATGGGAGTATTAATACATTTTACATGTAAAAACAAAAATAGATATGTACTTGTACACATATTTTGTTTTATCTGGTAACGTGAGTTAAAAATATATAAATGTACAAGACAGAAGTATTATAAAACAAAGAGTAGGCCCACTGTCTAAACCAACGAGAAAATAATGCACAACTTACCAACATAAAAATTATTGTTAAAATAAAAGTAATCTGAGGAGTAATTGATGGCAAAACAGTGTGTTCAAATTCTTGAACTAAGCCTCTTGTCATTGATGCTGAATTATTATTTTTTATTAAATCGTAGTCTTTATCTAAAAAAATTATCTATCAGAAAATGCATAAGGAATTCAAATAGATAAATAAAACATAGAAATCTATAAATACATGTAATCTTAGCACCAATATCAGCTGCATTATATAGGGCCCAAAAGTTTGGTGCCCAATAGGCATGTGATAAACCTCGTTTGAATGGAAATAACTGTTTAAAAACCTAAGAAAAAATTAAATTAGTAGAATTAAAATTTATATTCTAATTAGTAGTACCTGCACAATTTGACCATTGAATACAAAAGGTCCAAATGATATACTAGATACACCGAGAACAATTAAACCTAATTTTATAAGTCTTTTCATTGCAAATTGTATATTTTTTCTAAAACAAAAGTGTTTTAATAAATATACAAAATATGCTGGAGCCAAATATAAATAAATATGCTTGAAATTCAACAGAACCGTAAACCAAAATGCACCTCGATAGTTTTCACCCTAGAAAAAGCAACTAAATTAGCAAAAATAACAAGGTTTACTAAAAATATTTTTAAATTCTAGTTATAAGTAATATTTTTTACCTTTAAAATGTGTGATATTGATACAAGTAGGATTCCGAAAAGGAAGCCATTGTACTGAAAGTGTATTTGGTCAATAAGCAATAATGTTACATTGGCTATTAACAAGAGTTCAATGACAAAAACAGAAATTTTACTTTCATCCATATGTTTTTTCTTTTTAGTTTTGGGTGATTTCACAAGTAATGCAATTGACTGAGCACATCTAAAAACAATATTTTGTTCGTTAGTAAACTTTCATGCTGATCATGTTAAAAAATATATTAGATTGGTTTGAAAATGTATCCATCACGTTATTCTAACAAACACACATTTCTAGTTAGAAACTATTTAATTATTTTATACTTTTTTTTATAAAAAATGTTGTTATTTACATTTTCAAAGTTGATATAAAACAACTGATAGCGTATACTCCAAATGCCAGTGTACTAAACAGACATTATATGGGCGATTGTTTCATTTAATGCATAGACATAAAGTTATGGGTAATGTGAGGTTTAGGGCCATTTTTACAATGTCCGGTTAAAGCTAACTGACAGATAACAGGTTTTATTACCGGCAGAATTTGGCCAGTTAAACGGTAATTAAAGTTATTATAAGTAACAATGTAAAAGTATGGAGACCATTAATATTCAAAATTGACTAATGAAAAAATAATTATTTAAGACAACAATAAAATCTTCAATAGGAAATTTTAAAATTAAACATTATCTTCCATAGTTGATGGCTACAGAACAGTACTAGTAGTTCCATAAATATTGAATAATAAAGTAATATTCTGTGTAAGTACAATATAATATTTCTTAAATTAATTTCAAATATAAAATAAAAAAAAATAGACTTGGAAAAACTGATATAAAAAGGGTAAAGAAGAGGAAATATGTTGGCAAAATATTCAAGCTGAATTGCTCATCTTAAAGAATTTATTAACGTTTTTGAAGTTGCTTTGGCAGTTCTATGTGTTCTATGACTAAGTTACTACTAAATATTAATTTACCTTGCGTACCTCAATAATTAACCTCAGTGGTATAATTAAATAATATCTAAACATACAAGTGTATAATATACAACATAAGACATTGTTATTCAATTTGAATAATATTTACTTTCGAGATCCGTAATAAAAAACAAAATCAGTAATGATGACGCTAAGTCGCTGAAAGAATACGGTGGCGTTTGACGAGTAATTACGATTGTGTATCGATAACATGTCAATATCAACAAAGGCAGCAATTTGAGCCAAGAAGTATTCGAACCACGCAAAAAGTGGTGGATAGTCGATGGTCCATTCCGAATGATTAGCTGAATACCACTGCGATACAGGCAGACTGTACGTCGTAGCCAGCCAGTTGCGATGCACCTCGAAATCGGTGGAAAAACTGTCGAAACAGAATGAGACAACAATTTAGTGGGCACGATTGTGGATATTACAGAGAGAAATATTAAACAACTGTGAATAGACTTAAGACAGCGAATAACAATGACGATCCCCGACGTCGGAGGACCTTCACTCACTAGGATGGCAACAGGAGCAACTTCACGCACGTTATGACGACGTGTAGGGAACTCGTCATTTTCGGTTTGAAAAGACTTGGTCAAGACGTCGATGAAAAGCCCATGGTCGGAGTGAAATTATTCAAACCGTCAGACGGAGTGTAGTAAATTTTAATAATAAAGACGTTAATGGTCCCGAGCTTGGTCAAAAAAACATCTTCAAAAGCGACGCTGCGTGTAACCACTTCAGAGCCACGACGACGATAATAATATTACGATTTACGATTGCCCACAACAGACAGCTGCAGTAGACATTTAAAATTAATATGATTTGATGTATTTATGTATCGAGTAGCCACGAAACGTCATTATTGAGACGTAGTCGGCAAGTCAAAACGTTACCGGTGTAACGATTAATGATGAAAAAGTAAATATTGTTAACTGTTATCACTGGTCTGCTTATCAACACTGCGTTTAAAGCATAGACGTATAATATATTATACGTCTATGGTTTAAAGATTTTTTTATGACCGAACATGCAAACATCATAATATTTTAAACAATTTAAACCTATAGCCGTTCGGATTTAAATAATATTTTGTGTATTTTGAACTCTGGCGGCCTGGGCGCCTGACGTGTATCTAAATTTAAATATCTTAAAAAAGCCTTTTATACAAACTTAAGGTGATTCGATACCGTGATTTTCTGTTTTTGTCTACACACGCGAGACATGGTATTTTAGACGTGATTTTGTCAAACTTACCAATTAATCTAATGAAGCGATAAGAATTCTGAAAACTGATTTAAATTTGTCGTTAAGTCTACTTGAAATCGACTTTCCCACATTTTTGATATTATCCCCCAAATTTTTAAAAATGTCATATTCAAAGAGAGTATTTAAAAATGATGGTATTTAACATTTTGGAGAAGTTAAAATCCAAAAAATCAAAAATGTGGGAAAGTCGATTTCAAGTAGACTTGACGACAAATTCAAATCTGTTTTCAGAAATCTTATCGCTTTAATAGATCAATTGGAATGTTCGGCAAAAAACACGTCTAAAATACTATGTCGCACATGTGTTAGACAAAAACAGAAAATCACGGTATCGAATCCCCATAACACAGATAATGTCCCTAACATTAAATTTTATTTGTGATAGATCATAGATTATACAGTGGCGTCATTGGGGGGGGGGGTGCAGGGTGTACATTTACCCCAATTTTTTTTTTTTTTTTAAAACGCCGGCTTGCCAACAATAAATAAAAGCGCTGATATACCATATACCTAAGTTTAAAACATATTTTATATTTTATTTTCTAAGAATGTTTGATGTGGTTTTCTACACAGTGCACATAGCTTGTCAAAAATAGTAACAATATTGTGATATTTTCATACTAATATAAGTGGCATATTAAATTAATTATACAAACATTTTAGTTTATGCCCCCCTCCCCCCCCCCAAAAAAAAAAGTTGGTGTGTAGTGTGTACATACATAATAATTGATTGATGCATAATATCATCAATTAAATTTTGAGTTTGAAATAAAAAAATGTTGATGGTGTATGATTATATTCACTGTTTTGGTAATTTCTCACAAAATTCTTAATTTAATGATTCATAATTTATACTTGGTACTTATAAAATTGTTAATCAATAGTCAATACCCAATAATTATAATTAGTAATTATGAAATAAATCATCTTTAATATGTTTTAAAATACAGTACACGTTAGTTTTTGTATAAAATAAAATGTGTATTATACTATTTACTAGAATTAACTTACAACAATACCTGAGCTCTTTAACTTTAGAACAATATTGAAAATATCAGTCGAGGTTAATATAAAATATTTAATATTATATATTTATAAATCATTACAATACTAAAATCTGCGATAATAAATAATAATTGTTTATACCTATATTATTCATATGAATATACCTGGGATTCAAGTGTTACAAGCTGTCAAGCTTGTTTCATTTATCAACAATGATCATACATTTAAAGAATATAAAATAAAGTCCAAAGAATTATAGTATAACATGCTAGCTTATGCTATAAGTATAACGTAAACAAATGTATTTTGTATATATACAGAGTGTCCCGTGAGGATTTACTCATTAGCCGTAGAGGGGGACTCGCCGCCCGGACAAAAACCAGTTTATTGACGTTTTACTAATAAACTAAAAAAATTATTAAAAATCATGAGATTAATGAAAATAAAATGTTAAAAGCTCAAAATGTTCACAAAAATATACTCTATAGAATGGCTATCTTCAATTTTTTCAAAAATTAAAAAATTAAAAAATAATTTTTTTAACTTTTTTACTAAAAAATTTAATTTAATTAAAAAATAAAATATTTGTAGTGCTTACCTCTGCGAGTCTTAATAAAAAAACATAATTACGATATCTCCATTATTTCAGGAGATATCGCAATGAGTAAATCCTCACGGGACACCCTGTATATGTTTTACAGATTAATATAATTTTAAAATTTTTAGCTCACCAAAAATGAAGGCTATATAATAATTTGACGAGTATTATAATAATTATTACAGTAGGTTATTCATATTAGATATAGGCATGTAGCACTAGCTGCCGAGTAACAATGATTTTTAAACACAATGAAGAATTTAACTGTAGAATAATATTCCAATTACAATTGTTATCAATAATATATTGTATTACAATAAGTTTTAATATTATATTGAAACTGCAGAAATAAAATGTGATTCTATAATGTTATACTATTATAGATTCTAATTTGGTCACAAATTATGTTCCAAAAAAATAAATCAATGATTCAAATAAAAAAGTTTTAGTTAAAAAGTTAGTATAGGATAAAATAAAAGATAATATTCATTTTTAGTACCCTGTCTTTGAGAGACAATCAAGGCAAATCACATTGATTCAGAAGATTTTTTAATATTTCATCATAGAAAGTGGTAAATACTTTTCTGTTATATGTGATAAGATGCAAAAAACTGCCGGTGACGGCTGCTAATTCATCCTTGAATGCAGACAAGCCAAGTGGGCATTGCTGGGGAACTGCGTTGTCAGAACTGATGACTGCAGCAATAAACTCTTTGAAACGCTTCTCTGAAATAAGAACCAGATGAGATAAAAAGGAAAACACTATTATTTATTTTATATTATTTTATATTGAATCAAAAGAATGATATTACCAACTAGAGCTCTTATTTTATCGTCAGGGTTTTGGATTGACAAAACTTGAGTTTCAAGTGTTTTGGCCATATCTTTTGAAACAGGGCGTCCATCTGGATTTAGATTACACATATACTTATTAATGTGAAGAACTATTTGTTTAACAATATCTGGTATGCAAAATCTAGAATGAAAAAAATTGATGGAGTATAATACACTACTATTTATAAATTAACATAGTTAATATTATAATAAATACATGTTGAAATCATTTAGTTTAATGAGGCATAAAATACACTCTTTTAACTCATTTTTGAAATTCATGTCTCTGGGAATAACGGAATTAGTTGTTGATATTGTCACAATAAAAGTAGATGCTGCGAGTATCAAAAGATTTAGCATTTTATTTGTTGCCAAATATCGATCTTTGTCCAATGATAAAGCCTGAAAATAATAACCAGCTATTTTATAAACAATGTCCTGATAATGCACATAATTGTAACCTTATTACCTCTGGGAATATAACATTTTCATTCCAATCAAATATTTCCATATAAGCTCTTGCGACTATATCATGATAAGGTTCAGCAGTCTTTTCAAAATTAACGTGGCGTTTTAACCATTCGGCAGTCAAGTTTAATGCATCTGTTAATAATTTTTAGTTAAAAATAAATATTAATCAACTGTAAATTACATAAAAAAAAATTGGAATTAACCTGGTTGAACTTTTAAATACTCTGCAAATTTATCTCGTTCATAACCAGCACTACAGGCATTTAATGCTCGTCGTTGTGCAGTTATAGTGAAATTTGCCATGTCAAGTTTCATCAAGCTCAAAGTCTACAAATAAATACCATTGGCATCCAACATATATTTTTAAATTTTTCAAATATCAATACTTAAATTAATTAGTAATTAGTATACACTTTAAAATTAATAACTATTAATGTAAATAACTGTCTACTGAAGCACTACGATATATTTATAATTTTTGAAACAGGTGTCTAAAAATCAGTATAATGTTTTTATAACAATTTTATTTACTTTAAAAAAGTTAATAGTTTTAGCCTTTGTGTGTACAAATAGTATATGCTTATTTCATAATATAAAATACTAAATTGTATTTAAACATATAATTGATTAAAATGTACAAGTAGGTACTTTGCAAGCAAGCTTATTCTATTATTTGTTTTTAACACTTTGATAAGTTCATTATTTTTTACTATAACTCAACTCATTCACATAATTTTTGTAAAATGTAATTGCTACTTATACTGAAAAGCAAACTTACAACAAGTTTTTCCACCTAATTACCATTCGATTATCATCAAAAATTATATAAATCACATTTAAGATTAAAATGTAACAAGGCTAAACTGTGGGTTTAAAACACAATTTAAATAAAAATTAATAAAATAAGCCACAGTATATTGAACAAACCTTTTCAAAACTGATATTTACCATACAAGACTAAAAATTTATTGACATTTAAAAATAATTATTTACTTGCTATAGCTTCAAAATAATATATAAGAATTGAATAAGAAAATTTCCTTTTATATGCTATATATCTTCTATCTTCATATATAATATAATAATTTCCACCTAATGTTTTTTTAGATTACAGTATTGAACAATCTACATCATTGGAAATTTTTCAATGAACATTTTTTGTAGGATATATTGTATATTATTGTATTTATTGACTATTTAAAATACTATTTTCAACAGTATTAATGCAATTAATTTAATATTATAATTACAAAACTGCGTTACTAATATCAATATGTAATCTCATCATTAATTCTGTGGTATAACAGAACATTTAAACTAGATATTCAGACTATCATATAGGCACTTAAACATTTTACTGATTTAATTAATTATTGTAATTACTTATATGATATTAAAATTATTAAACAAAACTAAATAAAATAATATGTAGACAAATATTATTTTATCAGTTATTAACGTTATAAATATTTAAGCAATTATTTGAATCTTAATTTAGTAATTTACCTCTGTTATTCCTTTAAATATATCAACAGGATCATTTAATAGAGTTAGAGCGCGTATCGAATCATCTCTTACTGGAGCACATATTTTTGACATCAAATTCAGTATAAACTTGGTATAATACTATTGAAAACAGGTAAATAAATAAGTTAAGACAAGCCATATTTAAAACTTCATAGCTTATGTTATTTTAAAATTACTTCAAAATCCAAAGAGTCATTGTCTATCTGATTTTGTATAGCCTCTACATCTAAAACTTGAGCAATATCTTCTTTCAATTTTGTATGTTGGTCTAACAACAAACTTGATAAGCTCTATAATAATTTTATTTTTATTTAAATTAATGAAGTTACTAAATTAGTAAAATAATAATACTAAACAAAAATTTTTACATACTGTTTGAATTTCTGATAAAAGTACCATAGCTTGAGAGTATACAGGAGGATCATTGTTTAATTGTTCACGTAACAACTCCCAAAATGCTTTATGCATCGTGTCTTTGACTTGTTTCATTAAACTGACAGAATAAAGCATATTCAAAAATATATTAAATAAATATTCAAGAAACACAAATTGTATGTTAATAATACTATGTTCAGTTGATTAATAATTTTACCTGTTGTTTGGATGTTCTTGAGGCTCCAACTTGAAATTTTCATTGACCGCTATCTCATGAACAAGAGCAATATCTTCCAATTGTTTAGCAGCTACCATAATTTCAGGTAATGACAAGAACCTCGGAGGCGACGCAGCAGTTATATTATTTAACCTGAAAATTATAATAAAACAGATGTAAAATAATCAATAACAAAAATGCTATTATATTGAACTATAACATTTCTTGACGAGCCCCGGGAATTGGTCTATTTGGTGTTGATTGATTGTCTTGATCATTATTGGATGTATCTTCTGAACTCATTTTAAAGAAGTTTTTAATGAGATATAATAACTGAAAAAAAAATTTTATTTTTTTAAATTAAATGCATATTATATTTCAAAAATGTTTTAGTAAATTAGATGATTATAAAACAAGTAAACCTAGAATTTTTCAAACTCAACTAATAACCTTAATCAGATGAATCTATTTTAAATTACCCATATTTAAGCATATAGTTTGCAACGTGGTGTTTTTAAAATTATTAAAGATATTATTGTCCTAAGCTATAAAGCTCCAATATATGATAATGAATAATAGATCAATACACATTTTTGTAGATTTTATGCTTGGGCTATAATTTTTCTGAACAATTTTATTACAGACATTTTCAATTACACTATATCTTTGGGAAGAATTGTTCGATGTTAACTAACTATATTAGGTATATTATAATTCAATAATTGATCATAATGGCTATTGTACCTAGTACAAATGTACAATAAGTGTCAATAAAAAAAGTTAACCATTCAAATACCACACATAATAAAAATAAGAATAGACATTGTATTTTTAGAAAAACATTAATCATAATACTCCATCACCCTAACAATATTGATGTATGAAATACAATGTATGTATCAGTTTAAATAACAAAAATCAAAACATTATTTTATAATTTTCACTGTTAAATAAAAATTATTAACAAATTGATAATCAGATTGGACACCAAACATGAGGAACATGTTTAAAATATATATTTTAAAAATCAAAAAAACAATAAAATTACTTTTGGTTTATTACTATGTCGGAATTATTTTTAAAGTTAAGTATATTTATAATGAGGAGTACCTATTATTGTTCACACAGAGCAGGAAAAAAGAGAAAAAAAAACAGTATATTTATAATGATTAACCAATATCATACAGAGTACTTACATAGTGCGTAAATTAAATTCAGAAAGTAACAAAAATAAAAATAATAGAACAGTAAAAAAAATGTATGAGTTTTTGAAGTAGATAATATTATGTAAATCTCGTAAAAACACTAAAAACTCACAGGGGAAATCAATAAAATTAAACTCAAATGTCACACAACCGAACATGAATGTGTACAAGGCACAACGAAAACCAAATGTAGTCGTTTCAGCCGTCACAAAGGAATTGACAAAGGACTGGCAATCAATGAATCAGGACTCTCGAATTTCGATACGACGATGATATTATTATAAAACAAATATACCTTTTAAGGTCATCGGCCTTGCGACGAATATTTCAAGAACGCTCATAACTCGGAAATGTACTACTACATCAGCTACGATTACACAGCGTATTTTTGTCGAAATCAGTTTTCAGAAAAATCGAAACCATCAAAATTATCAATTCTACCTTAACGATAAAACAAATATTTGTGATACACACAATTGGTTATAGATCGTGAGCTCGGATCTGCGTATAATGGAATTTGTTTTGTATTTAGGACTTGGGTATATAAATAATAACTGAGTATCAGGTATGAAGTGGATAACTTCGAACCCAATTTCCCGGTCTCAGTCGATGAAGTCTTCGCGAAAACGTCATATAGGTACATGATTGGGATGAGATAAAGTGCTAACTGCTAAGACTCACCTTCTAGGCAGTCATCTTCCTGGAAAAGTACGTGTCACGAAAATGAAGTCGAACGGCGAATATTCTGATCGTACCAAATAAAATAGTAAATATAATCGAATTTAACGAAATTTTTCCTAGTTTATGTCAATGTAATATTATGAAAATAAGTGCTTTAACTAGCTGGCAGATATAATTTATTATTTATAAACACGATTACCGTGTTTTTACCTTATATAATATTATAACGTAATAACTCTCAATGCTCTTCTATACCTTATATCGTAGTAAGTTCACGACAATAATGTTTTTGTTGTTATTGTCCACAGCTACAGCTGTTAATACGATAAATAATAATATTATTATTGTTAAGTATTTGTTATTATGTATTCACCAGGATCCAGGCAGTATTCACGAACAATTTTCATTTATTTTATCGGTTAATAGTGGTTGATACCAATAGATAGATTACCAAGGTCAATGGTTGATACTTGATATCATTGATATCAATACAACATGGAAATAATAAATATATCATATGTTTGAAAGACAGTGTCGCCAGCCGTGGTTTGATAATTATTTAGTAACACCACGATGTAGGTAACACTCACGATTAAATATAGTAATATAGCATTGGTAACCATGGACCAAGAGCACGGTTTAAGATAGACTGGTTGCGCGTCGAACGAAAAAAAGTGGCATGAGAAAGCGCTTACAAAAACTTACTGGCACATAACGCGATCTAGCGGTAATATTCATAATCTATATTCTATAGTATATTCCTTTCTGGACGGAATAAGCTCCACGGTTTTTTTATTTCACAAAATCACTTTTTAATTTTTAATTATCAAATAAACCTTGATTAGTTGATTATTATTTAGATTAAACAGTCCTAATGACTAGTTGAATGTTTAATGACATTAATTTAAACAGTACCTATTAAATGATTGAGTTGTAGATTTAATATTTAACACAGTGTATATTATATTATATTTAAATTTAAATTTTTAAAATGTCTAATTATAACTATTGTTGTATTCGTAAACCTCACGAGCAATCCAAAACGTCATTTGGTGTTCCAAAAATTGAAAGCGAGCGTAATAAATGGGAAGAAAGTTTAGGGATGGCATTAAAAAAATCTCATCGTATTTGCCTACAACATGACCACTATATTTGTAATGTACATTACAATGCGTATGAGGCAATATTCATACATGGCTAATCAACAAACAAAAAAACAAAACAAAAAAAAAAAAAATTATCAAAATTAGTTAACTCCTAATCAAATGATTATTTATACATATTAAATATGTATATTGTATATTTTAAATTGGGTGTTGTAGGAGGTCACGACACCATTTCCTTTTTAGCCTGCGCCTTGGATTTCCTGAGAGAGTTAGAGAGGAGAGGTTTTTAATAAGAGGATTTTGGTGGGATAGGAGTCGCTTACGGAAGCGCGAGTAAAAGAATTTGGCTTCTTCGTTGATGGTTTTCATTTGAAAATCATTATGTAATGTTGGGTTTGAGACGTACAGTGGTGCATTGGAGAGTCGTCGAAGAGCTAGGTTTTGGAATACTTGTATTTTATTGATATTGGATTTTTTTGCTGAACCCCAGAGCTGTATGCCATAAGTCCAAATAGGTTTCAGGAGGGTTTTGTAAATTAGAAGTTTAACTTTTAGATTGGTATTATTAATTCTTCATATTAGAGGATTAATTAATTAAATATATTTTTAAGATTTCAGTATTTCACAAGTATTATTATTATTATAAATTCTTAATCATTTACTTATCCAAATAATTTAAATTGCATATGTCATGTTTATTCTTTTTGTGTTAGTTGTAATTTACTATTTAAGTATCTAATTAAAATAATATAATATATAACGAATTTATTTGGTTGATTTATTTTAAAAAAGATTTCCTATAAAAATGTGTTGTAAATATGTACCTAGTTAGTATGTAATAAAATTAAACAACGTTAATATTGTAGTTCGTAGAATAGTAAATGGTTGACAATGTGCAAAGACCTAAAGTGGAAGAGACACTCAGTGAATAATATTGAGGTTTGAGATACCTAGAGAGATTAAAAAAAATTTAACAATAGTCATAATTAAAATCATTGCAAAATAAAATTACTGTTTTAGCACGATTTAGTAAAACTTATAGGCGTCAACGCTAGATGGCACTTACTGTCAGTCAGTTTATGTTAGTACATTGCATAGTCACTTGGTCAGTAAGCTTAACATACGTCGATGCGCAACCTGTCTATCTTAAACCGTGACCAAGAGTATATCTTAGTCCGTGGTGCCGTGGTGGTAACACTTAACGTCAAGATCTACAACGCCGGAAATCTTGTTATTATTATTATTAATATTGTTTTAATTTAAAGTTGATAAATCTTAATTGTTATAAGAATTATTATTACATAATAATTAATAATGAGTAGATACCTACCTAGCAGTAGTGTACATGGGTACCTACTATTTTTTTATTTAGGTTTTAACTTGTAACAATTTAAATATTTATTTCCTTTTTATTTTTCGTATCGTTTTTTAAGTAGCCAGTAGGAGTACCTATGTCATGTGATGTGTATATATAAAGTGTATATAGATAGTATACTGTATACTGCAGTATATAGTGTATGTATATATCACTTTATAAATACCTAGTGTTTGGATTATATTGTTTCGGAACTTTTTATATAGATGAGGATGACCCACAACTGAATATATAAATAATAAACATTATACAATTCCATACTCGTATAGACTATAGAGTATAGACAATAGACATAATGCCTAGTGCCAAACAGTCATATCTAATTTTTCCCAATTTAAGCACTGTGCAGAGGGCGGCATTTTTTTCAGAAAAATATAAATACATAATTTTGGTACAAATATAATTATTAGACTTGGGCCCTTTAAAGCGCCATATTATAGGTACCTTCCTATTAACTATGGAATAAAGTATTAACTTATACAAACTTTATATGAGTATTGCGTTCAGTACATCACTAACGAGCATCTATAATCCTATACATTAGTAAATACCTAAGTTAGATTGTATAGGTATACTAGTAATAAAGTACATTTGTAGTTTTTATCTATATAGCCATATAATAGGTATAAATGTATAATATATATAAATATATAATACAATGTAGGTACATAACATACTGAGTATAGACATGATAGTAGGTATATGTATAAGTGTATAATGTTAATAACACTATAGTGCAGCTGGCGACCACCTAAAATATAAGAAAAAAGAAATGTTTTTTGCTTACAACCTGCAGACGTCGTGTTGCGGGAACAAAAGATTATTGAAGAATATAATATGATAAACGATAGTAGGACTTGACTAAATGTCGTCCGTTAACGTACAATTGCACGACGACGACAACGACGACGATTCGCTTTCATTCTGCTTAAATAT